AAAGACATTTTTATTCCTTACATCAGGACATCGTTGATCGTCGTATCAATTCCGCCAACCTCCTTAACTTAAAATTTATGGAGAATTATTTCTTTTCAAACGTCCTAATTACAATTTTAACATTCGACTGCCCAAAATTAGCTTTGATTACCGTAGACATCTGCATTGTTGTTCCCACCGTCTATGAAGCATCGGGACGGAAAGGGAGTCCATTTACGTACTGGAGACGTGCCACGGAGGTAAGGTGCGGCACGGTGATAAGATACAGTTGATAAAATTGGAAATTGTCAAAGCTTGTCTGGGGACATCTCGGGGATAATTTTGAACCAAACGCCACTTGACCACTGCCCTCCGATTTCATTTTCAAGAAACCCTGGTGGTGTTGAGCTTTCCCACTCTGTTGGTAAAGCGTGGTGAGCAGAAATGGTTTCTTGAAACGTATGCTCCTCAGCTTCGTTTTCGTAATATTCTAGCACGATATGGAGGCTCAAGGTGTTCTTCGTCTGCAACAGGTTGCTTATCCTCTGCTCTGTAAAATGAAGAAAAGAAACAAAAGAAAGAAAAAGCGGCCGAGGGAATTAGAATAGGAATTAAATATTTTTGGTATAATTTTCAGTTGATCTCTGAGAATTTAAGGCTTTCGAATATAGCAACAGGTTTTGCAGTATTTTCAAACTAGACACTAAAATTAATTTAAGGATTTTGGAAAAATATTCTCAAATGTTAGGATTTTAATTAGGGTTAAATTAGAGTGTTACACTAATTTCTATGAAGTATTGACTTTATTTATGATTTTTTATATCTATTTATAATTTTAAAATTTTTTATATGCCGTATCCTTACCGTCCCCATATCCTGTAATTTTAGAATTTACCATTTCCTATCCCGTTCCCGTATCCGTATCCGTATCAGTGCAACATAGCCCACCATTACGAGGAATCATGTAAACTATTTGTATTGTGAAGATTTTGAGTATAAATCTTGGGAGAATCTTATCGGATATGTCACTTTTTCAAATGCGTGTCTTAGTGGCTGAAAAGTTAAACAAGATTATAGCAAACTTCCTTTGGGGTTCCGGTGATCAGAAAGGTAAACATCGGGTGAAACGGGATCGAGCTTGTGTCCCCAAATTGAATGGAGGCCTTGGTTTCTTTTTAAAGGTTAGAAATCATTCTTTGCTAAACAAGTGGAACCGGAGATTTGGTTCTGAGCAAGAATGTTAATGGCGTAAAGTTATCGTAGCCAAATATGGTTATGAATTCTCATCGCTACTGCCGAAACCCGTTAATCCGAGGAATCTCTCTGTTAGAAATAAACTAGCAGTTAGGTTGTTTTGATTAGTCAGAGATTATTTAGTTTGTTAGCATATTATTACGGGCTATATAAGCCTATCAAATATTGAGCTAAGAATGTGTCTTTGTAATCTTTTCTATCAATTTAGTAAAACTCATTCTCTTTTATTGATACTCTTTACAAACTATAATTACTGGTTTCTCTTCCACCGTTGGATGTCACCATTCAATAGCTTCCGGCCATCATGTCGGACCTTCAACATTTCAACATGGTATCATTCGTCAAAAGGTCCTGACGTCATTTCTTTCGCTGCATGGAGTTCGTTGGCTCTATCATGACTGCTTTTGCCATCGTTAATACCGTATATCAATACTACTCTGATGTCGTTTTCTTTCATAAAGAAGATATGGAACTTGATGCTTAACAACCAAATATTCATGGTAGAAAATGATCCGGGGAGAGTATAGTGTTTAACAACTAAACTCTTCATTAACAAGACAAAATACGATGTTTTCTTGTCCAAGAGAACTTCAGATTGCACCTGAGAGCTAGCTTAACCGTCTTGCTTTCAAAAAAAGAAGGTTCGAATAAGTGAGAATGACAGTGAAGATGAAGAAAAGAAGGTAAAAGTTTTGAATAAAAAGAGAAGTTGAATTTCAACTCACAAAGCTTGGTTTTCTCTGTTGCATGTTGTCGTTTGATTTGGTTTTAAGCTGTTATTGTTGTTGAATTGTGGTCACTTTTACTACAGATTTGGGTTGTTCTGTTAATTTCAGTTTGCATTTCTTTGTTACCTGTTTGCTTCTCTCACAAGGTGATTATGAAACTTTGAGGCTTAACAACCAAGTTTACATGGAAAGAAAATTATCTAGGGAGGATTAAGTGTTTAGCAACCTTGTCTTTCTTAACCAGAAAAAATATGGTGTTTCCTTGCCCAAGAGCGACTTAAGATTGCACCCGGATGCTCGTAGTTTAACCGCTTTACTTCCAACAAAAAGAAAGTTCGAATAAGTGAAGGAGGATAGTAAAGAATAGATATTTTTTTTGAAGAAGATCAAGAAAATTGAAGAAGCAAGGAGAATGTTAGAAATAAACTAGCAGCTAGGTTGTTTAGATTAGTCAGATTAGTTAATTTGTTAGCATATTATTAAGGGTTGTATAGAATATTGAGCTAAGAGTGTGTCTTTGTAATCATTTCTATCAATTTAGTAAAACTCATTTCTCTTTTATTGGTACTCTTTATAAACTATAATTACTGGTTTCTCTTCCACTGTTGGATGTCGTCGTTTGGTAGCTTCCGGCCATCATGTCGGACCTTAAACATTTCAACACTCTCTTGGATGTGGAACTAGAGATTTGGTTCTGACCATTGTGGATATTGGCGTTCTTCGGGTTAGTTTGATCTATATGGCTTTTCTGGAATAATATCATTTTTTTCAAAGAAAATCTTTTGTGAGAACCAACTTTTTGACCAGGCTATGCTCAAAATCAGGTTTTGGGGTAAGAGTATCTGGCCTCACCGAATTCTCTCGATCTCTAATTTTGTTAGCTGTCACTGTGTTGGAAATATGTTTTGAAAATTCACACGTTAACACTGACAAGAAAAATAAATAATAAAAACAACAAACGAACAATTGAAATCGTGTCGTGGTGCGAACCACTACCTTAGAAACGAATTCGCCCGATTTGTGTAATCGCTGCTTCAGACGGATCATCCCCAAGGTTAACACGGTCGCTCCAAATTTCGTACACCCGAAATTAGAGTGGACTACTGGTGGTATTATCCTTCTGATTGGAAAGAAGCTTAAGAGAATATCTTAGAACACTTGAGAGTGATTTGTGAGCTATGGGAGGAGTTGAGAAGCCAAATGAGCTCTCTATTTATAGGCTAGATATAAGAGCATTTAAACTCAGCTAAAACCCCTAAAAAATAACAGCTAAAAATGAATGAACATGTCCTAAAATCAGTCAGGTTCATCGCATCAATACTCAGCTATTTATAATCTTATATTTAAACTTTGTAACTCTTGAATTAAACAACTTGTCTCTCCAATGAATAAAGTTAAAAATTCAGTCCAGATACATGTTAACGTACATATTAAATTAAGAAAAATATGATTGTTAAATTATTTAAACTCCAGAAATAAAACAACCAATTATTTTTTGAATTAATAGAATTTAAACAATCCTCAGCAACCGCCTATAAATAACAAGAGCCTTTCACATTTTCTTCATTTGTTCTTTTAGAGAAATTCCTCATAAATTTTCTCTCAAGAGATAGAAACCGTGCGGACGTGTCGGAGACACGTATTGCCTCCACCTCGACCACGTCTACAAGCACGAGACAAGATGAACATACGGACGGCGGCGACGCGCAAGAAGCCCGTTGTTCTCTATCACTCAATGAGGAGCGGAGAATGAAAGCCTTAAATACTCAATCCCAATGTATTTCATAGTCTATGTGTGATTGAGCATTACTAACAACTGGGGTCCGGTTTAGAAGTGTCTTGTTGCATTCTAGAGCAAGGTTTATCGTGAGTGCTTACTAGGTGAAGATTTTCGGTTGGTTTATCGAGCATTGGTTATGTTCTTGATCTCAGGGGAGGTGATATTGTTGTTGATCACTGCTTCTTCCAGTGTGATTGTTTTAGGGAATATTCGGATCTTCCTTTTATGAAGCGAAGTTCGATTTTTATTGCGTTGGTTAGTGGTGTCTGTGTGTTGTTTTTCAGATATTTTGATACCTTCCTTTTGGTTGTAGGATCCCAGATGGTTGTTGTATTCCAAGTGGGCCGTTGCTTTCGAGTTTGGTTTGTTTGTATTGTTTGTTTGCGGTTGTTGTTTCGCATTACTGCAGTCTGTTGGTTATTCTGTTTTGATCTGGGGATTTTGTCCTGATGTGCGGGGAAACGCCATCGAGTGTTGATGTAGTCTGTTGATTCTGGTTGCTGTTGAGCGCTGAGGGGCATGATGTGGATATTTTGGTTATTGTTTCGTCAATATCTATTATGGTGATTATCGTTTGGTGGTCCGCATCCGATTGCTTTTGTATGGTTAGCAGGTGGTTTAAGCAAATATGTCGTTTTTGTCTAGGGTAGCAGGTTGTTGTTTTGATTGGTCTGTTGCTCGTGATCCTGATTTTTATTACAATGATTCTATATTACAAATGTGTATTTCAAAGTTTCGAGTCATGGTGCACTCTTTTATCTCCGATTAGGTTTAAAAGGATTTTTTAATGAAATCTACGTTGTTGTCTCGTTTTATATGTGTTTTTAATAAAACCATAAAAAAACCTTTTTTAAAAAAAAATCTTGAGAGAATTATAAGGTTACAAATTACGGAGTAGACTTGATTTAAAAGTTAAGTTACTTTGAAATAATTTGTGTTAATCTTTTGATTCATTATAATTACCCCACTTCATAATTTCATAGTTTTGGATTGCAGTGTCCAAAACTCTATCTGCCACAAATGCACACCCCCTGAGACTACAGTTGGTTCAACAATTATTAATCTCAGAACCCGACACCACCACCGAAAAGCAAATTCAACCTTCACGGACTACACCAAAATTCTGAGCGCCCCGTTCATTCCCCCTATAAATAACAATCTTTGTATAGCATCAAAAAAGAAAAAAAAATTATCAAGCACTTAATTATGTTATCGGTACCTTCGGTTTAAGTCTTTCAGTCATTAACTTCCTTAACGCATTAACAGAAATATTATGTGACAATTAAGATATAATAAAAAATAAAATTATATGAGTATTTCAATTTTTCAGAGACAACTGTCCTATCAGCCTCTCGATCCATCCTTGACTACAATGCTTAATAGTTAATACCCAATTACCCACAGAGCATAGCAGGTAAGCGTGGGGAAAGAGTAACCTCCAATGGTGTAGCCTTAGGAACAGCCATTCCAGGGATTTCACTCATGTCGATCGATTTGTCCGAAACCGTCCCCAATTCGAATCCATGAAGAAGCCTAGCCAATGCTAAGTGCAGGACTTGAAGTGCAAAACTGATACCCGGACAAATCCTTCTACCCGAACCAAATGGTAAGAGCTCAAAGTTTTGACCCCTTACATCTATGTTACCATGATCATTAACGAACCTCTCAGGCAGGAAATCCGTTGGATTTTCCCAAATGCCGGGATCACGCTGCAATTTCCACACATTAAGGAAAAGCCGAGTGCCCGCAGGGACATCGAAACCGGCTATCGTACAGTCGTCCATGGCTTCCCTTGGTGCTGATAGAGGTGCCGGTGGGTGTAACCGAAATGTTTCCTTCATAATGGCTTGCAAGTATACCAAGTTGTTTATATCCGACTCTTCCACTTTCCGGTGCTTTCCGACGTGCCAGTCGATTTCGTCTTGTGCCTTTTTTAGCACACGGCGATTGTTCAACAGCAACGAGACCGCCCATGTAAACGCGATCGTGATCGCGTCGATGCCTCCCAAGACAAGACTCTGCAACAAGGTTAGTCTTATTAAGATCATTTAATACCATACTATGTATAGCTGAATTAACAATTTTACGTACCGCCTTTTCAAAGAAAAAAAAACAATTTTACGTACCAGGCAAGTAGCTTTAATGGTAGTGTTGGCCTCTTCAATTGGAATACTATCATCATCCATCATGGACAACATGACATGGATGAAATCTTTGTCCCCTTCGACGCATTCCACGAGCCTCATTTCGCGATGCTCGTTAACCCAGCTTCCGAATATAGTATCACACTCTTTCGCTATCCTCTTCATTTCGCTTATCTTTCCCATTAAAACATCGATCCAACCGAGAAAAGGAGCGAAATCTGAAACCAACATTAACCCAACCAGATGAAAGAAACCAGCAATGGCATCTTGGCATCGTCTTGATTCATCGGTTCCGTAATCGTATCGTTTTCCGGCTACGGTCCGTACCATTACGTTGGTTGCCAAGTGACCAATCCTTCCCTTCATTTCCACTACCACAACACCTCTGCTTTTCAACGTTTGTTCATGTAATTCGTCTATGAAATAATCGATTTCCGATTCCCAAACATGCCTGAGTGACTCGATCCGGTGACCGGATAGAAGCTGAAGCATAGCTAGTTTCCTTATGTTGCGCCAATACGGTCCATATGGTGCGAAACCTAGCATTTTATGGTCATACCCCATAAGCTTCACGGCTAAGGACCGTGGACGTGTTGAAAAGATCTTATCATTGGTTGTGAAAAGTTCTTTCGCGACTTCCGAGCTACTCACAACGAGTGCCCGATGAGTGCCGAGTAGGAGCGAGAAGATAGGTCCGTACTCGTCGGCCATGTCGCCGAATATTCGATGTAGCAGTTGATTTGTTCCGAGAAGATGAAGGTGACCGAGCAAAGGCAAGGCCCCTGCGGCCTCTGGCGGTGTTCTCCTTGGCGGTTTCTTCTTGTGTCGAACATGGACCGAAAGTGAAGCCACAAATATGGTGAAAAGAATTGCCAAAATGATTTGAATTGAGAATTCCATTGGCATGCTTCAATCACTAAAATTCAAAGTGATTGGATTCCTCCGTAAAAGAAAATATAGCCAAGCCAAACACTACTTACGTGGTGTCTTTCCCTTCTTTGTGGTCCATAATGTTTGATAATTACGTCATCGACTCTACCACGTCTATCATTTTTAAGGGTAAATTACACACTGACTCCATTTTTCTCTCCTATTTCTCTCACCGTACTTTCAATTTTTTCAATTTGCTCACTAAACTTTAGACATTTAACTTTTTTTTGTCACTCGACATTTAAATTTATAACAGATTTATGATATTGCTATATTAATTGAAAAAATTCAAAAGTATAGTGAGTAAAATAGGAGAGAGAGTAAAGTTCAGTGAGTAAACATGTAATTTATTTTTTAATTATATGTCCCACGTGACATGTTTTATTATTAAAATAAACCACGTGAACACACCGTTACTGAGTTAACGGTCGAGTGACAAAAAATTTAATGTCTAAAGTTCATTGAGAAAATTGAAAAAATTAAAAGTACGGTAAGTGAAATAAAAGGAGTAAAGTTCAATGAATAAGCGTATAATTTATTTTTTTTTAAACAAAATCAGATAATTATAAGAAAAGTATTTTTTAAAAATTTATTTAATATTACACGCGCTATAAAAATAATTATTCGAAATCAAAACTTTAAGAGAATAACGGTTTATTTAACTACTAAAATTGCTAGGTGAGTTCTTATCGTTTTGAATATGCCGTCTACGTGGGTTTCTCTTCCTTGTCCTTTTTGCCCTTTACATCAAAGCACATTACTTAATATGATTGACATTTTTACAAGTATTTACTGAGGGATTCAAGACCCGGTGATGTAGTTATGCTATGATTTTAGCCTTTTCAATTTTATTATAGGTAAATTATATGTTTAGTATTTAAATTATTGATTTTATTTTAATTTAAATTATATTGTTTGATTTAAGTTTCAGTTTGATATTTTATCGTTTAAAATTAACGACATCGATGTATGAAATCTACTTACAAAACGGGTGGAATATCAAAAAGGGAAAATGATTCCACATCATTGCTATCGTTCAGTTTTAATGACGGTGTAAGATTGAAATCTAAATATAATTTAAGTATGATTTTGAAAAGAAAATAAATTCAAGGTATTAAAATACAACAAAAGTAATAATTTAGATATTAAACATAGAATATACCCGACAAAAGTGCCTAAATAAGGCATGTGAGAATGTTTAATTCCCAAACAAATGCACATTCGATTAATTTCCATCTAGTGTATTTTCTACAGTACCTCCTAAAGTCTCCAGGATATCTCGGCGTCTTCAGGCTAAAATTTTGCTCCATGGATTACCGCGTCTTTAGTAAAAAAAAATTCTGATTATTGTGCATTTTTGGAGATTTTTCCGAAAAATCACATTTTCCTTAAATATTTACGTGTCAGACCATTTGAAATAATATTCCTGATTAACACCCTTTGTATTATTTAATTTTTTTCCTTAAATCATTATGTTAAAATATGTACTGAAGCGACGTCTTTCTTCTAATACCTCTAACATGAACCTTCCTTGAAATCTTCATTATCACCTCCTCAAGAGTTATGTTTTTCTTGAAGGATATTTTAACATAATGATTTGATACGAAAACAACGCCGGTTTCATCTTCCTGAATTTCTCCATCATAAAAACAATAGCTGAAATTCGCTTCATTCTTACACATAAACGTAAATAATTTAAATAATATAATTTTATATTATTACCGTATCGACAAAAATATTTCGACGTATGCTCTCGCTTTCTAATTTTACAACCACAAAAATTAATTGAAAATAATTACTATAATATTTTTTTCAAATAATCATATATAATTATAAAAAATATTATATATTAAAAAAATTACCTTACAACGAAAGATCAAACGAACTTCTGAATCAAAGATAAGAGTACGTGTCAGACACCCTTTGAAATAATATTCCCGATCTAACACCCTTTATATTATTTTTTTTAGTATTTTATTTTCCCCCTTAAATCATTATGTTAAAATATGTACTGAATCGACGTCTTTATTCTAATACCTCTAACATGAACATTCCTTGAAATCTTGATTATCACCTCCTCAAGAGTTATGTTTCTCTTGAAAGATATTTTAACATAATGATTTGATATGAAAACAACGTTGTTTCATCTTCCTGAATTTCTCTATCATAATAAACAATAGCTGAAATTCGCTTCATTCTTACACATAAACGTAAATAATTTAAATAATATAATTTTATATTATTACCGTATCGACAAAAATATTTTGACGTATGCTCTCGCTTTCTAATTTTACAACCACAAAAATTAATTGAAAATAATTACTATAATATTTTTTTTTCAAATAATCATATATAATTATAAAAAAATTATATATTAAAAAAATTACCTTACAACGAAAGATGAAACGAACTTTTGAATCAAAGATAAGAGTACGTGCCAGACACCCTTTGAAATAATATTCCCGATCTAACACCCTTTGCATTATTTTTTTAGTATTTTTTTTTTTCTTAAATCATTATGTTAAAATCTGTACTGAAGCGACGTCTTTCTTCTAGTACCTCTAACATGAACCTTCATTGAAATCTTCATTATCACCTCCTCAAGAGTTATGTTTCTCTTGAAGGATATTTTAACATAATGATTTAATATGAAAACAACGTCGGTTTCATCTTCCTGAATTTCTCCATCATAATAAACAATAGCTGAAATTCGCTTCATTCTTAAACATAAACGTAAATAATTTAAATAATATAATTTTATATTATTACCGTATCGACAAAAAATTTTCGACGTATGCTCTCGCTTTCTAATTTTACAACCACAAAAATTAATTGAAAATAATTACTATAATATTTTTTCAAATAATCATATATAATTATAAAAAATATTATATATTAAAAAATTACCTTACAACGAAAGATCGAACGAACTTCTAAATCAAAGATAAAGGATTATCGGGTGATATTTAAGGAAATATTATTTTAAAGGGTGTATGACATGTAAATATTTAAGGAAAATGTGATTTTTTGGAAAATCTCCAAAAATGCATAGTAATCATAAAGAATTTAACTAAAGACGTCGGGTAATCCCATAGAGCAAAATTTTAGCCTGAAGACGCCGAGATATCCTGGGACTTTAGGAGGTACTGTAGAAAATACACTAGATAGAAATTAATTGGATAGTGCATTAGTTTAGGAATTAAACATTATCGATACCTTATTTGGGCACTTTTGCCGAATATACCCTTTAATGTTAGTTGTTATCATTACAACCACAAAAAATGTAATACACCACACACTTGAAATGCATTTATGGTACGAATCCTTATCTAATTGTCATAGTTTTTGTGATCATTGGATCAATTCGAAAAAAATATTGCAAAGTCATCATCAATCATTTTCAGTTTGGTTGGATGTAGTATCTATAAAATCAATTTATATAAATATAAATTTAAAGTCTATGAATAAAATTACAATCACATTTTAGAAATAGATCAATCCTGAATCTAGAAATACTTTCAAGAATATATATATATATATATATATATATATATATTTAATATTGTAAATTTTTTATATTAGAGAGCACAAATAAAATTATAAGATAAATATAATTATTAGAATAAATATTTATTTAAAAAATTCAATTTTAATAACTATTTTCAATAAGACGTGGATCTGTCACTATTAGATGGTAGATATAGCGCACAACCTCTCTTATATAGGGTTGTAAATGTAATGCCCCAAATCCCGGGTTAGAAGTATTGGGCTAACCCGAGATGGGCCTTGGTTTAATTTCTTAGCTTGTAGGAAGCCCGATAATGAATAGAAAGGGTGTTTTTAATCTGCAGTCAGAATTGGATGACCAAAAAAGCAATTTTACCCTTGTTCAAAAATAAGGTTGAAATCCTTAATTGCTTGGTGATATCACGTCTGATATACCCTCTTTTTCTCATCTCTCTTTTATCTCTTCTTCCTCTTTAAATCTTCATCTTCATAGCTCTTTCTTCCTCTCCAAGAACCAAGTAAAGGTATAAATTTGGTAGTCTTGCAACCCTAGTTCATCAACCTAAAGGTAAGAATCATGATCCTTGTATCCCAAGTTTTATATCAAGCTCTCAAGACACCCATTTCACTATAGTTGCAAGAAACGGTTTAGAAAGGTTTTAGGAAATAGATGGTTCCAACCCATTTTTCAGATATTTCTAGCCTTAGGAAGCATTTTAAAACCCTCCTTAATCCCTAACAACAGTTAGTAACCCTTACATTTGGTTTTGTTTAGTGCAAGAGGTTGGAGAAGGCTCCAAAGTTAAGGGGAAGGAAAAGCTTACTTTGGGCTGAGCCTTTGATGTTTCCAGCAGTATAGCATCAAAGGTAACTCACTATTGACTCAACTATACCATATGTAAGTCATTTAGATGAAATTTAGTAGGTTGCATAAGCTTGAAGCATTGCCATGGTAGATTTAATGTTTTAGAGTTATAAACAAGTTTAAAGCCATATTTATGCTCTTTTGTATCTTCATAAAACATTAATAATGTTTGGGGACCTCACTAAGGTCTTTGGGATAGTAGAATAGGATTTTTTGCACCTATTGTATGCTCTCTACAGGTTGAGTTTTGATACTAAAGAGATAGTATCAAAACTTGTTCTTCTTCTCGGGCAAACTCGTGAGTATCTAGGCAAGAGTATCGATACTCTTTCAAGAGTATTGATACTTTGGGTCATAGTTTCGAAACTCCCAGAAAGTATCGAAAACTAGAGGTTCAAAATGTTTAAAAGAATCGATACTTGTAGAAAGTATCAAATTTCTTCAGGAGTATCTATACTCTTAGGCTAGTATCGATACTTTCAGTTGTTTTGGACAAAAAGGCCAGTTTTTAAGGGAATTAGACTCGAGGTACCCCCAACACTTCAGTATATCCTCAAATAAGACTTCAAGCGAGAACAATAATTAATATCATAACAATAGAAACAAAAAAG